AGTACCTGCCAAAAGTTTGGAAACATTAGTTAATGATTTTGAAATGAATCTCTTCTGCTCACCAAGGCTGCATTTATTTGATCAAAAACAAAAAACAGCAATATTGTGAAATATTATTACATATAAAAAACAAGTTTTCTATTTTAATATATTATAAATGTCTTTTATTCCTGTGATAAAAAGCTGAATTGCCAGCATCATTACTCCAGTTTTCAGTGTCACATGACCCTTCAGAAACCATTACAATTGATTTGAAGCTCAAGAAACATTTCTGATTATTATCAATGTTGAAAACAGTTGTGCTGCTTCTTATTTTGTGGAAATGGTAATATATTTAATTTTTCAGGATTCTTTGATAAAGTTCAATGAACGGCAGTTACTTGCATTTATCAAATAAATGTATTAAAGCATTTATTAAATAGAAATCTTTTGTAACATTTTAAATGTCTTCACTTTTCACTCACTTCATCACTTTAATGTATGATGAATAAAATTATTATTTTCTCTCTCTATTAAAAAATTTCCAGAAATGTTTGAGTGGCAGGCTATCATAGTTTCCACAAAAATGTTAAGCAGCAAAAACGTTTTTTTAACATTGATAAAAATAAACAGTAAATGTTTCTTGAGCAGCAGATCATCATATTAGAATGCTTTCTGAAGGATCATGTGACGCTTCTCTTTGTAAACAACAACACATTTATAAACGATTCTAATGACGAATGTTGCGTTCCCAAATGCAAAATGAAAGCTACTCTAGCGCAGCTAGCATTTACAGCAGACATGTAGCGTGCCAGACTATAGTCTATATTTATATAATTGCATCACAACCGTTGTGAATTCTATGATAGTACTAAGCTCAAATTCTCACCAGCATTCATTAAAAAGTTTCCGGGTGAGTAACACGCTTCAGCGCTGATTCTACCGTTTGAAGCCTTTTAACTGTCCAGCACTCTACCATTCCGTCTGTTTGTATTAGAAAACATAACCTTTTCGCAGTTTATTTAGTTAATTGCTTAAGGCCATTTCA